TATATATATATATATATATATATATATATATATATATATATATATGTATGTATATACTACTAATAATACAAGTAGTAGTAGTAGTGGTAGCAGTAGTAGTGATAGTGGTAGTGGCAGTGGTAGTAGTGGTAGCAGTAGTAGTGGCAGTAGTAGTAGTAGTGGTAGCGGTTGTGGTAGTAGTAGTAGTAGTAGTAGTAGTAGTAGTAGCAGTGGCAGTAGTAGTAGTAGTAGTAGCAGTAGTAGTAGTAGCAATAGTAGTTGTAGTAGTAGTAGTAGTTGTAGTAGTAGTAATAGTAGTAATAGTAGTAGTAGTGGTAGTACTAGTACTAGTAGAAGTCCAGTTTGTTGCTGGTTCCAGCTCAGAGGACTGAAGCTGGTCCAGAACAGAGTTCTTACCTCTGGTTCTCGGCGTCCTCAGCTGGACTCGGGGGCTCCGGCTGCTTCAGCTCCACGCCGTCCTGAGGCTTCTTACTGACCGCCATGGTCAGCAGGGTGGACTGTGTCTGGGGGGAGAGGCCCGGTCAGTCCTCCGGCTCTGGCTCTGCCCCCTGAGCTGCTGCCCTCCACACCCACCTTGGTCTTGGTCCTGGGGGCCAGCGGTTTGAGGACGGGGCTTTTGCCGGGCCTCGCCGCCGCCCCCCCCCAGCGGCACCGTCTTCCTGCTGGGCGCCATGCTGTCCAGCACGTTGGTCACTCGAGGCTGACCGGACGAGGACGACGGCCTCCCAGAGCCGCTGACCTGAAGGCACCGAGTTTAAAGCAAAACGCTCTGAACGATCCCACGAACACAAGAATCTGAGAGAAAAATGGCTCAAATATCCTCATATTTACACGACGTGTTGCACACAATAACTCTATAATAACTCACAATAACTCTATAAAACTAAAAATCAGGAGATTGAAACTATCAATGAGTCCAAACCTACAAAGCTGAGTACAGTGGAGCATCATTAGTCAGTGTGTAACGCTTTTTATGTGATTTTTGGTCCAATGTGTTAATACTGAATGTTGGAAATCAAAATAATTGAAGTCCCTAAAACTGAGACCAAAATGAGGCAAATTGAACTGTTTTTAAGTAGAAATAAAGTTGAAAAAGAGTCAAAAGTAAAAAATTAATTCATTTAACTGCCTTGAATCCTACAGAGTTGATAAGAAATCTGAGAAAAGGCTTTGTTTATTATCCAATATACAAAAATATTTACCTTGAAAGGATTTGCTCGTCCTACTTTTCCAACTGGAAAAAAGAGCAATCAGAAAATTAGCGAGTTTAAAACCAGAAAATGCAAACCTCAACAAAACCGATAAAAAACTCCTCAATTTGAACTCCTCAGTCAGTTTTGTTAAATACAAAGTAAAACGAGAAAACCAAAAGAGCAGTAGACATAAAATACTAAGCAAAACTTAACGGCTCAAACTAATCAGACTAACAAATCTCGGTTGGTTCAAAAGTCATAAACACGTACTTGAACCCGAGGAACCACGTGATCATCTCATTTAAACTATTAAAGACTGTTTACATGTACAGACATGTGGAGCCACTTTGAGCCGTGGTGCATGCTGGGATGCGGTGCGTTGCTCACCCGGCGTCAGTGAAGGCGTCACAGGTGAAGCCGCCTCCTTAGCAAACGGATTCACACCTGCAGGACCACACACCAGGCTCATTTAGACCAGGTCCCGAACCCCCCAGTTTCAGACAATTCAATGAAACTTCTTTAGCGATAAATAAAATATGAATTTCTTTCCAAATTCAAGACATAACCAAAAATATTTCTAAAATATTTCTGCCCAATAAAAAGAATTTCAGCCCCCCAAAAATATATTTTTTACTATTTTACTAATTAAAAATAAATTAGGATAAAAAAAAAAAAGAATTAAATATTTTTCAATAACTTAATTTTTCTAATTTAATGAGTTTTTATATCATGAAGACAGGACACTGACTCCCTTCCCGTTCCTGATACACTGAATCCAGATTGTACATATTCGTCTGACCACTTTCTTTTTTTTCTGGACATATTTAGTATGAATTAAAATATAAAGAAAGAAACCAGACGACCTACAACTACGACAGCCTA